TCCATAGGGACAGGGGCGTTAGCTGAGTGGGATTCTCAGGGCATGTGAAGAGGTGCCGGGAGTCATGTGGCGACTCTCCACATGCCGGGCATTGGTTAGGCACATCCTCGTTGATTCTGCTCAGGTAGCTGTTGAGCCTGCTGCAATAGCCAGAGCGAAGTTGGGCTATTGTAGTGCGGGTCTCCCGAGGCAGACAAAGTCCCGTCCACGTCCGGTGGTTGTGTGCCTAGAACGGCATTCACACGGCGGGAGTCTACATAACTTGAGACTGATTCCCTGTGAATGTCGTTCAGGGTCTGTCGGTAGGTTGACGGGTCCAGAGGTTGTTTAATATACCTCTGGACTTCGTCTGTCAGTTCGTAAAGATACCTCCTGACGTGCCGTGGTGAGGGCCCTTCCGCGAGCAGTTGCCCGCTGGGATGGCCACGTCTGTGGCTCCCAGCGAGGAACTGCTTGCAGAGCATTATGTTATGCTCCTTTACTGGGAGCATCGGGGCCTCGTCGTGAAGGTGGTGTTGAGGCGTCATCAGGAGGCATCCTGTCGCAGTTCGTAATGCGGAAGCTTTGATATGTAAAAATTAAACAGTAGCGGGGACAGGACACCACCCTGTGGTACCCCCTGTCTAATTTTACGTAGCCTGCTGGTTTTGCCTCTGAAGATTACTGGCGAGTGTCGACCACACAGGTAATTCGCCGACCACCATTTGAGTCCCTGTGGGAGTGAGGAGGCCTCTATATCTTCTAGTAGCGTTGAATGACTGACAGTGTCGAACGCCTTGGACAGGTCCAACGCTACTAGAATAGTTCTCTCACAGGGGCGGTTTCGGTTTAGGCCACGAGTTATCTGAGTGTTTATGGCGTTAAGTGCTGTTGTTGTACTATGCACTTTACGGAACCCATGTTGATGCTTCGCTGGGGTCAGGTGGTTCGTGAAGTACGGGAGCAGCAGGGCCTCGAGTGTCTTCGATACCGGGGAAAGGAGAGTTATCGGGCGATAAGACTCTCCCTTGTTGGCTGGTTTCCCCGGTTTGAGCAATGGGACCACTCTCCCCATTTTCCAGATGTCTGGAATAACGAGAGTGGCCATTGACAGGTTGAGGACCTCCGTTAGGTACGCTACTCCCGCAGGACCCAAATTTTTCAGCATCAACATGCATATTCCGTCGGGTCCAATGGCTTTGGAGGCTTTCGCCTTCCCGATGGCTACCCTTACCTCACAAGAGGCGCACTAGGTTTTGGCATTTTGTGCAGCCTTCTGGTCACTCGACGTTTGGCTTTATCCACCGGAGGATGCAGAATGAACTGCCGGCTAAAATAGCTCGCGCATCTCTCCGGGTCCGACGAAGCGTGGTCACCAAAGTCTATCTCGACGTCGCGCTTCGTCGGGTTGGACAACGACCTCACGGTTGCCCAAAGCTTGCTCACACCAGAGGCGAAGTTGCAGGTCTTCAGATGCTCTTCCCATTTCTTCCGCTTATGTACGTTTACAAGTTGCCGAATCTCCGAAATGAGATCCCTAATACGGGGATTTCCGGGATCGGCCTGACGAAGGTTGTCGCGCTCATCAGCTAGAACAGCCGCTTCGGCAGGAAAATTCGGACGTGGATCCTTAATACATCCTGCTGGGATGAAGCGAGCTGCAGCAGCGGTGACAACCCTGCGGAACTTACGTTCACCTACATGAACGTCGGTTGGTATGTGTAGTGCAGTGACGGCGCCCTCAGTAACATCCGTGAAGCCTTTCCAGTCAGCTTTGGAAAAGTTGACATAAGTCCGGTGATCCACGGAAGCAAAGTCGGCAGGTTTATCAATCGAGATGACTATGGGCAGATGGTCTGATGCTAGAGTCAGCATAGGTCGCCATGATACGCTGTTTATCAGACCAGCGCTGACAATTGTTAGATCTGGCGAGCTGCAGTAGCTGCCCATAATCCTGGTGGGTGCGTCGTCGTTCATTGTGCAGAATGTCGAATCGTCTATCTGCTCAGCCAGATGTATTGCCCTACGATCATTTGACAGGCTTGAGTTGAAGTCACCAACTACCATACGGTTTTCACCTCTGAGTAGCGCACCTATTTCAGGGTGATATCCTGCCGGGCAGCTGGTGACAGGGGGTATGTATCAGAGAGCAGAATGGATGGAATTACAACGCTTATTAAGTCACTCGTTTTCTTTTCTTACCTATACACTTAACCACTCAGTGCTCTGTAAACACAACATGCATTAGCTTTGAAATAAAAAAGTCAAGTGAGTGAGTGAATCACATTTTCAAGTGATTGATTTGAATAACGAGTGTATGGCATATTTGATATTGTTTATGTATGAATTGAAAAACTGAAATATGTATAATGATGTCTTACGAAGTTGCGAACACCTACAGTGTTTCTAGCTTTCCTTTTAGTCTAAGATCCGAGAAAGCACGACCTTCACTCATCTGTTTAATGAATGGAATCGTGTTTCTATGTAATTTAACGAGTTAATAAATATTTTGCGAGTGGGTTGGCTGAATAAATCCTGGCCAGGATATTTTTAATCATATATTCAAAAATTATTATTTTTGTTATTTTTTAATTTTATACTCATTTGTTTAATGAACAAATTATAAACCAATCTAAAGTACCTCTCGGGTTGGCAGGTAGGAACTGGTAGGTAATATTAGTAATTTCCACTCATCGGTATATGATCTTTTGAGACAGGGACATTTTGGGTACTGGCAATTGTGGCCGCCACAAAGCAGCGGCACTGCCAAGCGCGGTTAATACGTGTCGTTAATAATACTTTTATGTGTAAATATCAATAAATAGTCATTCAAAACAGAAGTAACGGTTTAAATGACCAGTTTACTTGCTAAAATCGAGAAAATCAGGAAACTTCTAGTGCAACTCGAACAAAATCTATTATTTATCAACACATTTCATACCAGAGGCAAACTATTTTTTTTAGTAGAACGATGTAAAAGTGATCAAAAGAATTGTAGTCGCATTGGGCTTCCTAGGGTGGGCCGTTGCGAAAACGCAACATTGGAAGAAACCACTACTATTACCTTGGGCGAGACAATATACTAAACAAGTTTGAACAACACTCCGTTTAGGCCATTCAAACCTAAACTATATCTAATAGGTGAGTAATTAATAATAATAATAGATTGGCGCTTACACATGTGTTAGTGTTTGGCCGAGCTTCTCCTCCGACTTGTTGCGTGCGCCTTGATGTTGTCACACAAAGCGGAGGGACCTATAGTTTTACGCCGACTCCGAATGGCGACTGTATTTTTATGATAAGCTGTTTTTCATGGCAGAAATACACTCGGAGGTTTGCCATTGCCTGCCGAGGGACGACCGCTGTTAAGAAAAAACCTTTTCTATATTTTTTGTAATGTTGCTTTGACCAGGGCCTGAACCCAGGTGCTGATGGGTGAAAGCGCGCACTGCTTACCACTACACCACAGCGGCCGAGTAATTAAATATGTAATAAATAAATAATATGTGTTTATGTTAGCTTGTGATAATCATCAAAACATTTGGCATGAAATGGAAGATTGTATCTTTCATCTGACGCAGAGTTTTTTGTTTTGGAATAAGGCAATGAAAGGAGTGCTGGCTGAAAGGAAAAACGCCCGAAGTTTTTACCAGACAGTTAGGCGACTTACGAAAGATGTCAAAACCAGGGCGAACTCCTGTAAGAACAACTATGGCGACCTCGTGACCGATGTCACGATCCATCACTGCACATAGTATCATTACTTGCCTGTTGAGTAAATGAAAGTAATAACATTTACGAGCAATTCAAAAATATAAACACTTACATCTTCCTTATCCATTTTCGAAGCCGCGTGCCTTTATTTTCTTGATATAACCCGTTTCCAATCAATATCATTCGAGTGCTCGATTCGTTTGGCATAAACGAGCTTTTCATTCAAATGATTTGACTTAAAAAGGGCATGACAATGAAGTACTTGAAAGCAAATGAGTGCAAAGCACCTAAGCATTAGTGAGAGAATTGACATGAGAATCACTGCTAAAGCAAAGTTTCCCACTAGCTGTTTCGAGTGAACAGCATTAATGGGTATCGCCGATCTAGACGGGGTTAGGCACGTCAGGGGCACCTATTCATGTACAAGGACGCAGTCCAGACCTACACAGACCAACCACTGGACCCAATGACGTACAGACGAGCGATTAACGACATTCATAGGGAGTCTGTCTCCACCTACCTCGACTCCCGGCCTAGGAATGTCGTTATCGGAGCCCAATCACCACCTGTGGAAGAGACGGAGCTTCAGTTACCTAGAGAGACCCGCGTTACCCTGGCTCAGTTACGGTCTGGATATTGTAGCCGCCTAAACAGCTACCTGTCCAGACTCGACCCAAACATCCCAAATGAGTGCCCGGCATGTGGAGACTCCCCCCACGACACCAACCACCTCTTCACATGCCAGCTCAATCCGACTCAACTAACACCTCACTCCCTTTGGTCCGACCCCATCGAAACAGCTCGTTTCCTGGGCCTACCGTTAGTTGAGCTTGACGATAATGAT